GAGTCTCCTGCCTCCGCCTCCCAAGTAGCTGGGACCACAGGCGCCCGCCACAACGCCTGGCTATTTTTTTGTTGCAGCCATCATTGTTGTTTGGCGGGTCCAGGCTGGGGATTCGAACCCGCCACCTTAGGTGTACGTGGCTGGCGCCTTAGCTAGTTGAGCTATAGGCGCCGAGCCTTTTCTTCCATTCTTGAGATAGTTTGCTAAGAAGAATATGTTCCAGCTCCATCCATGTAAACATGAAAGAGGTAAGCTTCTGACTGTTCTTATAGCTCTTCCGTGAGGCCAGCAGCTGTGTCTCTATAGTCATGGAGCTGGACTTGCTTTCGTGAGTCATGCTGGTAAGAGGAACATTGGCCCAGTTCAAAGCTCATGATCTTTCTGTCCCATTGTACAGCTGTGGAGACCTTCCATTGGAGGTTTTTCCCTTTTCCTTAACTCTGCCCTTTTTTTTTTTTTTTTTTTTTTTTTTTGAGACAGAGTCTTACTTTGTCACCCTTGGTAGAGTCCCTTGGTGTCATTGTAGCTCAAAGCAACCTCCAACTCTTGGGCTCAAGTGGGTCAGCCTCCCAAGTAGCTGGGACTACAGGTGCCTGCCACAATGCCCAGCTAATTTTAGAGACAAGGTCTTGCTTTTGCTCAGGCTCATCTTGAACTTTTGAGTTCAAGCAATCTACCTGCCTCAGCTTCCCAGAACCTCACCTCTGCCTTGATGCAGTGGGGCCTGTGGTGGCACAGTTGGCAAACTGTTACCAAGCAAAATGGATGTGAGAAATGAGTTGCTAAGTGACTGCCTGAGGGTTTTTTGAGGTCTTAGGCCTTATCTTGGCAGGGCATGAGAAGAAGGTCTTTGTTTATGACTGAGTGGAAGTCCACTGTATTGGAAGTGGCTGTCCCAGTGGGAGACACTGGGACTGGTGGAACAAATACTGGATCTGTGGCCTGATCTTGGGATTGAGTCTCCTCTCTGCTGGTTACTCTCTGGGGAACTCTGAGTGAGTCACATCATCCCTTCAAGCTTCACTTTCCTCAGGTATGAAGGGAAGCAATGGTTTCTGTCCTAAGAATTGAAACACATAATGTTTGTGAAAGTACTTTACAAGCTTTGTGTATCTCAATTTTGCCTTGAAATCCTAATTGCCATAGACAAAGATGGGTGCTCTATAACTTCTCCATGTTAGGGGGGGTAGTTCTGTCCTAGGATTCTGGCCTTATGAGGACAGCCTATTTTCTTCTGTTTCTTCCTCTAGGGAGATAGGAAATGGGATTTAGTCTGGTTTCCAGCATAGCACTAAGCTGGAAGATAGTTAATAGCTGGTGTTGGTAGAGTTTGTGTCTGTAAGCAATCCCTTAGTTCCTGGTATCTGAACTCTACTGCCTCCTAGTCGCATGGAGTAGGAGGTGAGCAGTGTTATTCCTTGGAAAATTAAGGGCAGAATTTGTCCTGAGAAACTTTCCCAGGAGTTGGTTTTTCAGCTTATGTAGAATGTTAATTGCAGAGTGTCTTTTCCTGGTGCCAGACAGGGTCAGGAGTAGGATATAATTAGGGGTTGTCAGAATTCTGTCCAGAAAGCTCAGGAAAGAGGTGAATGGGATCAGAAAAGGCTACATTGTTGGTAAGAAGCAAAGCCAGCTTACCAGGGCCTTCAGGGTGTCTTCCAGGGACTTTGGGTGTGTGGGCATTTATGTGCCTGTGCTCTCTGCACCTCCCTGTGAGTAAGAATAAGAGCTGCCAGATTAATCCTCACAGGTCTGACACCTTCAGGAGGTTTTAGAGCCTCACTCATCAGACCAGGAAAGAAGGTGCAGAGAAGGCTGTCTTGTTCTAGCACTACTGGGAATGGAGAGCAGGAACAGGCTTTGGACCAGTTCTATCAGGCTACAGCGCCTGGCTCTTTCCCTGTGTTACTCAGCTTTTTACAAGGAGAGAGAGGTCCTTTTAGGTCTCAGAGAACCCCACATCTGCCTCAAAACAAGATCTAGTTCCAGATGCAGCCGTGGATGATGTGCCATTTGCTCCTCCCCTGCTGCCTGTGTGCTACTTGGTCTTGGTGGGTATGTGTCAGTGTCACCTTTGTCTTTTTTTTAAACAGTTTTACTGTGTTGCCCTCGGTAGAGTGCTATGATGTCACAGCTCACAGCAACCTCAAACTCTTGGGCTTAAGTGATTCTCTTGCCTCAGCCTCCTGAGTAGCTGGGATTATAGGTACCCACCACAACTCCGGCTATTTTGTTGTTGTTGTTGCAGTTGTCATGGTTGTTTAGCTAACCCGGGCTGGGTTTGAACCCGCCAGCCTGGTTGTATGTGGCCAGCACCCTACCCACTGAGCTATGGGTGCCACTGTCACCTTTGTCCTGAGGTGAACCCCTTGGGGCTTTGCAGTCTACCCTTGTCACTAGGTGTGAGGTGTGCCTGCTGCTCATTGGCCTTTACTGAACTGAGCTTCTGAGTAGTGACTCTGTATCCTTAAGCCAGAGCACCATGGCCTCAGCCTGAAATGGGACCCAGCACTCATAGGAGCTGTTCCTTCTAGCAGATATTTATTTCCCAAAGCTAGAACACCATGAAAAGGCTTTAAATCAGGGTGTCCAACCTGCAGCCTAAAGACCTTATGCTGATTTGGTCAGGACAGTTTTTGCTTATCTGGGGTGTCAGATATCAGGAAAAGTATGCATGGACCTTTTGTTTTCTTTAGTATTTGTGTATTTAATGTGTGGGTCAAGGCAACTCTTCTTTTTACGATGTGAGGCAGAAAACAAAAGGTTGGACACTCCTGCTTTAAACAAAGTTATGCAAGGTCAGACAATTAAATCTACAAAAAAGTGCTGCATACTTCATTGCTGTGTATCATTATGGTAACCTTCAAGCTACTCCATTTGGGAAGCTATGCACTGATGCCAGGGCCTAGTTCACCTTTCAAAGTGGTTTTTCTTGGATGAGTTTGTGAATTTAATTGTCAGACCTTGTATGATGACAGCTCTGATGGCCATTCCAGAAAGAGTTCCTTGCTTTTTCCAGAAAGAGTTCAATTGCTTTTAAGGGTGGACTAGGCACTGGCATTGGTACATAGCTTCCCAAGGGGAGTACTTTGAAGATCACAGTGGTAATATTCAGCAGTGAAGTATGTAGCACTTTTTCTAGGATGTGTTTGAAAAGGTAGTAGTCTGAGACTGGGTGCAGTGGCTCACACCTGTAATCCAAGCACTCTGGGAGGCTGAGGTGGGTGGATTGCCTGAACTCACAGGTTCGAGACCAGCCTGAGCAAGAGTGAGACTCCCGTCTCTAAAAATAGCCGGGCATTGTGACCAGCACCTGTAGCTCCAGCTACTCTGGAGGCTGAGGTAAGAGAATCCCTTGAGCCTAGGAGTTTGAGCTGGAGGAGGTTGCTGTGAGCTATGATATGACAGCTCTCTACTGAGGGGGACAAAGTGAGATTCTCTTAAAGCAAAAAAAAAAAAGAAAGAAAGAAAATTGTCTGACCTCTTCCTTAGGATCAGCTCTCAGCAGCTACCTAATGTACCTTTTAGGGGCTGGGCGCAGTGGCTCACACCTGTAATCCTGACATACTTGGAGGCTGAGGTGGGTGGCTCACCTGAGCTCACAGGTTGGAGACCAGCCTGAGCCAGAGTGAGACCCTGCCTCTAAAAATAGCTGGGCGTTGTGGTGGGCACCTATAATCCCAGCTATTTGGGAGGCTGAGGCAAGTCTGAGGTTGCTGTGAGCTATGAAGCCACAGTACTCTACCAGGGACGACAAAGTAAGGTATTGCCTCAAAAAAAAAAAAAAAAAAAAAAAATCTTGTAACCCTTGTAAGCCTTCTCTCTGAAAGCTGTCCTAAGTGTGCCTAAGATTGGGTGGAACAGATGAGTGAATATTTATTAGGCACCTGCTGAGGGCCAGCTAGCTCTGTTGTAGGTGTTCTCAGCTCTCACTGTGTCCCCATACTGTCTTGTGGTCAGGAGGGTCAGTACTTTGCCTGAAAAGGAAGCTGAGAAAGTTTAGTGAGACTCCTGGAAACTCACCATTATGAAATGACATTATCTGCCTGGTCTTTTTCTCACTCAGGTGTATCTGCCTGGTCTTTCCCACCCAAGTGTGTGGCCCGTGGATGCAGAGACCCTTTGGTCCCTGAAAGGGGAAGTCATATCTTTGGTTAGCTACAGCCTTTGCAGCCTATGTTGCTTTTCCATGTTGCTTTTCCATGTTGCAGAGAAAGTCAAGCAAAGCCAAGGAGAAGAAGCAGAAGCGGTTGGAGGAGCGAGCAGCCATGGATGCCATTTGTGCCAAAGTGGACGCCGCCAATAGGGTGACTCTCCCCTCCTTCCCAGTCCCTGCCTCCTGGGGCTTCAGCTTGCTGTTTGATTTGGCTTCTCTTGGCGCCACCCTGTGGCAGAATTTAGGTACTGCCTAGCCACAGTCTCTGGCTCCTTGCAGGCTGGAAGTGTGAGCCCGGCTGCCTCTGACTGGGCTGTGAAAGTTGGGAGGCGGTGTCAGCAGTTGGTCCAGGTGTTCAGGGAAATGTGGATCCTAACAGACATGGCTGCTTCTCTGTAGGTCTTCTTCCTTATGGATAGAAAGTGGGTCTAGAGAAATTTTTGTTAGGAGTTTGCATTCTAGGGAAGAAACTTCTTTGATGAAATGTAGTATATACTTTTCTCATTATTTTCTTTCTTTCTTTTTTTTTTTAGAGACAGAATCTCACTTTATTGCCTTTGGCAGAGTGCCGTGCCATCACAGCTCACAGCAACCTCCAGCTCTTGAGCCTAGGCAATTCTCTTGCTTCATCCTCCCAAGTAGCTGGGACTACAGGCGCCTGCCACAACACCCAGCTGTTTTTTTGTTGCAATTTGGCAAGAGCTGAGTTTGAACCTACCACCCTCGGTATATGGGGCTGGTGCCCTACTCACTGCGCCACAGGCGCCGCCCAGGGATATCATTTTTCATTTGGAGTTTTGGCCAAGTGAGGTCACTTGGGGGCTGCTTCTCAGAAGTGTACAAGCAGATCATGTGGCCTCTTTGTGTTAGCTGTGCTGTGAACTGATGTTAGGCCCATAGGCCAGTAAAGTCTCCTTTTACCCTGTCAAATGACACTGAACTTCTCTCTCTCAGCCTCATTACCAAAGCCTTCCTCATATATGTGCTTCAGAGCTGAGGGAGATGGAGAGCTCTATGAGGCTGCCACTGAGGCCAGAGCTAGTCTCTTAATGTGGGTCCTGACAGTGTCACACTTACAGACAACAGGGCTGTCAGGACAGGGCCTGCACCTCCACCATACCTGTCTGCGCTATTCCTCTTTTCTTTCTCTCCACAGCTTGGAGACCCTCTAGAGGCTTTCCCAGTGTTCAAGAAATATGATCGAAATGGGTGAGTTATATTTGGTGCATCTAACTATTGTCTCATTGAATGTGTTAAGTTTTCCAGAGTTAGCCTTCCTCAGACCCAAATTTTCTCACTCTTCATTATTATGAAAAAGGAAAAACTGTGGGGCAGCGCCTATGACTCAGTGGGTAGGGCACTGGCCCCATATACCGAGAAAAAATAGCTGGACGTTATGGCAGGTGCCTGTAGTCCCAGCTTCTTGAGAGGCTGAGGTAAGAGAATCGTCTGAGCCCAGGAGTTGGAGGTTGCTGTGAGTTGTGACACCACGGCACTCTACTGAGGGTGATAGTGTGAGACTCTGTCTCTAAAAAAGAAAGGAAAAACTGACTAGTGTCCTCTATTGATATAAAATCAGGAG